TTTAAAAGGAATTTTTCACCATGATTCTGAGTTCTAGCCCAATACTTAAGCGTAAGATTTTCCCGTCGAAGGGTTAACGGAGGTTCACCTGCTTCTGCTAGTAGGCTATTTATATTAGTATTTTTAATGGCTCGGAGGGCTACTCTAAGTGCTGTGTGCTGTATTATGTCGAGGTGTTTCAATACAGTGTCACATGCTGTGTTATATACCTGGGAACCATAGTCTAATCTGGATCTGACTAGAGCTTTGTATAACATTAGTTGTGTTGTTTTATTAGCGCCAAATTTACAACCTGAAATGGATCGCATTGTGTTTATCGCTTTCTGACACGACTCTTTAACATAGTTGATGTGTTTTTTCCATGTTAACTTGTGGTCTATTATCATGCCTAGATACTTTACTTGTTTTTCAAATTTTAATTTAGTTTGGCCTAAATATAATTCTGGAAGTTTCTTGGACTTCGTGAAGTACATAGCTACGGTCTTTTGTTTGGATGGTTTAAATCCCCATTTATTTGCCCACTCGTCTATTGCTGTTAAGGTTTTTTGTATGTGTTTAGTCAGGAACCTTATGTTTTCCCCGGTACTCCAAATACATCCGTCGTCAGCAAATTGAGCTAGGTTTGTTTGATTATAAAGAGTATCAGTTAACGAGTTTATATATATGTTAAATAATGTTGGCGAAATAACGCTTCCTTGTGCAACACCGTTTTCTAGTTCGTATTGATCGGACAGTGTGTCATGTATTCTTACTTGAATTTTACGGTTTTTAAGAAAACTTGAAATGAACTTGAATATATTGCCTGTTATGCCATGTTTTTTAAGAGAAATTAGTAATCCGTCATGCCAAATGAGGTCGTAGGCTTTTTTGAGATCTAAAAATACAGCCAATGTGTTTAGTTTCTGGTTAAATCCTTTTAGGATTTCAGAAGTAAGCCTAAGTAGTGGGTCTAGGGTTGATCTTCCTTTCCGGAATCCACTTTGTTCCTCGTCTAACGGCGTCCAGTTTCTTGGTAAAAAAAATGTATACAGAAATAAAATTGCTTGACATTTCACGTACAAAAACGGTTGATTTAAATCCCGTTAGTGACAACAGTTAATCATGCACGCGCTATATACGTAGACAGGTAAACGGACAGGCATATGGACTTGTGAAAGAATGTTAATTAGTAGCTAATAAGTCTACACATGGACAACAGTAAAAATGACTTCAAATATTTAATCAAAATGAGTCAAATTTATAAAGTATTGAAATTATTTTACAATGTTTTATAAAAATAATAAGCAGCTATATCATGCTAGTTTCCTGTACTAATTACAATGTAGTAAATCATATGTTCCACTTTCATATTTTTTGCTATTTAAAATCGGTTTTAATTTCATTGAAATACGAAACATTGCACGTATACAGGGCTAATAATTATTCGCTATGTGTATTAGAGGAATACTTGTATGTGCTATATTTTGAAACTCACGGGGAGGAGGTTATTAGGGGGTAAGCTCTGGTGTTTATAGGTATGGTGTGTGACGTATATATATATATGGTTCCGTACAGAAAGATGGGGGTCGGGCAGGTTTATAGAGACTTATTTTCTGTCGCACGAATGAGGTGTCTTTGTGTCTTGACTTTCTTAGGCTTGGCTGTCTTCGCTTTCTTTGGAGACTTGGTGGCCTTAGCTTTCTTAGGAGTTTTGGGTTTGGTGGCTTTCTTTGCTGGTTTCTTCTTCTCTGCAGGTTTCTTGGCTGCTGCCTTCTTGGATGTCTTTGCTTTCGGTTTCTCATCCGTCATCGCTTCCTTGGCTGGTTTCTTAGGCTTGGCTTCTTTAGGTTTGATCCCCTTCATCGTCGCTGGTTTCCTGTCTGGTTTAGAATTTTTGTACAACCTACTGGTGGGTATTTATTTAACTAATCCATCTATAATTAACGGAATATCAACAAAGACACTGAATTAAGATTAAACGAGGGGGGAAAACTCCTTCGATAAAAAACGCAGTCCCTACGTGGGCGCCAATTGTAACGAACGTTACCTTCTCACACGGGTTCGACTGCCACTTTCGCTAGAAGATTCCATGGATTTTAATGAAGTATGAAATAATAGAGAGTAAGCAGAGATTGATGACAAAAACAACTTAGGCAGATATAAATTTTACACGTTTATTGTACGACTACATTCAAACTTAACAACGCATGTGGCGGCAGGCGGGTTTTCCGAATTTTCACCAAAATTCAATGAAATAAAAAGTAAAATGGCCCTTACTATAATTTGTACGCACTCTACAACCTAGCTAGATACATTGGAACGAATTTTAAAGCTTTCGACTAAATAACGATGACATACGGCTATCATTTCCACTCAATAGTTTACTCGTTAACCCTTCTATTTTTGCAAAATTCCTTCACGTAAACTAGAGAAGCCTACCGCTCATAGAAACCCTCACTTTAAGCCCAAAATAGATAGGGCAGAGAATGTTCAGCCACTACCTATGTGTTATCAACAAACATCTCTCCTCCAAACAGTATCAAAACCAGCATTTCTCCCGAAAAACATATTGGCTGGAGTGAAAAAATACTACTAAAAATCAGCAACGGATGTTCAATAAAAGTTCCTAACCCCGAATTTTGCAAGGATTGGCGACAGAGAATACTTAAATCATTGGATTACTTGGCTAGACAAAACACGTCTTACCTGTCTGATATCGGGAGCCAAAGGTGCTGTATCCGAGAAGCCCTCTCGATAATTATGGTAGCAGCCGTTATAATGTTAGGGATCCCCGGCCAGGTAATTGAATGCAACGCAACGCCCCAAACCTTGGTGCGTTACACACACACCAACCACATGAATAGGCTGCAACCCCAAAGCCGGAACAAAAAAAAAACAAGTTTTGTTTTAGGAAAATAGAAAAAACAAATGTTTCCAAGTTGCTGTTAATTTCACAAGTACTGAACATCGATTGCAAAGATTTTTCTCTATTCGGTAAGAAAAAACAAGTGTACCCACTGCCTAACAATGCCACAATTTTCAACAAAAATAAAACAAATACAATACGACAAACAATACAATTGATAATCTCTGATACAATGGAGGCGTAACCCTGCTGGCTTAAAACAATGTTTCCAAGGCAAAACTGTAATGATACAATTATAGAGTGAGCATCCTCTTCGTTGTAAAGTTCATTGTTGAGCACTATCAAATTAAAGTTCATTATGCTCGTTATATGTTCTGACTTTAGACTTGATTCACAATAAATTTGAATCTTTCCATATCCCAGCAGTATTCAGTCAGGTTAAAAACAAATCAACTACGTCTGCCAGCTAACAACCAATGCAATAAATGTCAACACATGCGAAAAATTAGTTAAGTTACCAAGATGTTACAAAACTTACCAGGTATCCCTTAAGGAAATACCCGACCAATTTAGAATTTCCCTAGACCCTAACAACTATGTCAGTGCCTGTTTGACAGGGATCGTGCGATTCCCGTCCCTCGATCATTTCATTCCCAATGACAATGTAGAGCAGCAAAACCCGGTGTGCGTCCGGCCAGTCCGCATACCACGCCTTGTCGATCCAAATATTTTACTCAGAAATGAAACACCAAGAGAAGAGTCAAAAGTACAAACACAGCGGCTCGGATTAAACTTTCACCCTGGTAGTAAGTTTCAAGGTCAAACACATTCTAATCAAGAACACCATATTAAAGTAAAATTTAACTTGCCAAAGCATCAGGAATAGTTTTAAGATATTGTTGTTATCCTAGCAATTAATAGGCTGACCTTCATTGGCACTGGTAGTAGGGAATACCCCCATTATATAATTACATCACAAGCCTCCCCTACAAGGGAGGGAAAACATATGCTTTGCACAAAAAAAAGTCTATAAACTTAAAAAAAATAAGAACACATATAATTACAAAACCCAACAATCTCGACTATGTCCCGAGACCAGACAGTATACTTATCCCCCCTTAACTATACATTTTTGGGGAAGCCACCCCTGTGTATAAAGTATACATGTAATTTATGCGGACTAAACAGTAAGCTACAAATACTACAGGACCTCTTATTTATAATAATCCAAATATAACGATTCAGCCCGACCAGAGATGATGTTATCCCCACCTCAACAAAAACTAATTATAACCAAGACAATTGCTGAAACCATGTTGGTCAAAACAACTCTAGCCACAATAACATTGAGCCCTCGTCATGGCTAGGCTAAACCTGAATGACCGAATTTTCTTCAGTGAAGTCAGGACTGAGTTCAATCTTCAATGTTGGTATTGTTACATCATTGTTTGTATTATCAAAAACATAAATAAGGACAAAAGAATAAGCCTTACGTCAATCGATAACTTCAGTGAACAGCGATAGCATCGATCGGGATTGAACGTTCTCCGTCAATCCTGCATTAGGAGACCACCTTCTGGAAGAGCAAAAACTGGTCACGTGTTGCAGATTGTTCCTAATAATGGTTCGATTAATAGTTAAATAAGAGGTATTTTGAAACAATTGGTCTCCTAATAGAGGCGGTCTTTCTAGCAGGTTCATATATATATTGACAAATAATAAGCCCTTTGACGACTTTAATCATCATACCCGATGTTTGCTGTTTAACATAACATGCTGTTATATCAAATATTCACATCAGAAAGTATTGCAGCTATACTTCTGCAGTAGTGTGATAGTAAAGGATATCTGAATTTGTATTGTGCTTGCCTTACTTGAAGCTGTCAATACCTAATTTCAACTACACACTAGGAATTGATTTCCGGTGAATATTACGTCACTAACATAACGTTGGTGATTACATGCGGTTTAACAAGGTTTGATCTCGGTTATCTGCGACAATGAAGCAATTACTTATAAGTGAGTGTAATTATTCCTATTCTCCAGATATCGTAAACTGCAGAACAGCATTTCAACACTCTTGAACTATTAATCAAACTATTCATTGTGTTATGAATGTTTTAACATTTGTATGACAACACCACACAACATTAGCTGTACAAAAGTCATACAAATCACATATCATTAAAATGACATTAAAAACGTAATGCAGGTGTACCTTGTTCTTTAACCAAATCCAAAAAACATTTTTGTATGATATAAAAATATCACAAACAGGATAACTTACATCGAGAACATGTATTCAGAGATCTTCGGGAAGTTCATGCAATTAAGTGATCTCCTATTGCAGTCTCTTAATACAGGTTCAGTTATATGAAAATAACTGCAATGTGAAGTTTTTTGAGTGGTGTCCTAACACACGTGACCACCAAAGTTCACAGAGATGGTCTCTTTGGCAGATGGATTGTATGTATATAGATATACATATGTAAACATCACAGGCAATATATAATCATATCGAACATCATTTTGTTCTTACTACGTCTCATGTTTATATAAAATCTTAAATATCATTTTATATGATATTCATGATACAAATCAGTACAGTTTAATATGTATTCGTACGTGCCTACGGCAAGCCAACGAATACTTCTGGGCAAAATAAAAATCGTTTTTATCACATAATAAAAATATACACATCTTGCAAAAAACATAGTTCCTCCATGACGTTTAAGTTAATTCTTCAATCAATCATAACTATTCTAGGGTATAAGATTAGTTCTTTATGGCAAACTTTACATCTGCATGTAAACCTTCAGTGTAATAAGATTTAAACAATATATGAACATTTTGTTTTGCACTTAAGGATTGTTTGTCATATTTTTGACATGCATTGGTGGTAACATACATTGGCTTACCTACATATTGAATGGTGCGCGCTATATTTGTACTCGCCTAATGAAATAAATATGAAGATCATTGTAGCTATGCAGTAGAATACTAGTCGCTGCATAACAATAGTTCTATCTGTTTATGTACATTCTATGCATTAAGCTTTGGGTGATTTAATTAAAATAATTACATAATTGATACATGAATTTCATCAAGACGACGAGAGATCACAATAACCTCAGAAACTTGAGTTTTTGATGCAGAACTATTTTTTTACAAGTATCTTTGAGCGACTCAAGCCTATATTCACAATGTAATAATGACGCAAATATTGGAGCGACTGAAGTAGATTATATAGTGTCACATCGCAACGTTAATAGAAATGGCGTCTCTCATGGACGAGTCACGATGTAGTTATAATATTTGGTAGAACAGAGAAATTCACAATGTTTACAAAAATATACTGGTTGTGTGGTTTGTTTCCGACGATACGAAACCTTTAAACTGTACATAAACGTGATGAAACAAAACCAACAATTACAAAAAACCACACCAAAGTGAAACATAACGTATTTGACGACGTTATACTTAGTATATCAAGTATAATATTGGTAAAAATGATAAAGATTCCATTTAAACGTAATATATGTGTATATACAGTTAAAGAATACTCTATACAATATATGTGTTGACCTAATGATTAAATACAGGAGGAATAAAAGTATCAATGTTCCCGCAGTGTTCCCGCAGTGCTCCCGTCAGTGTTCCCGCAGTGTTCCCGTCAGTGTTCCCGCAGTGTTCCCGTCAGTGATCCCGTCAGTGTTCCCGCAGGGTTCCCGTCAGTGTTCCCGCAGTGTTCCCGTCAGTGTTCCCGTCAGTGTTCCAGTTTGGTACACACAATCCATCAAGTGATTCACTACATTATACACAAAATACGAATGCTTCAAAGTTGGTCGAGAAATTCTAATCCTGGTTGAGTAATCAAAATGATGTATTATTACAGTTGATCCATGTGCTCTAATCCTGGTTGAGTAATACAAATGATGTAGTTTTACAGAAAATCCAGGTGCTTCAATCCTGGTTGAGTAATCCAAATGATGTATTATTAAAGTTGATCCATGTGCTCCAATCCCGGTTGAGTAATACAAGTGATGTAGTTTTACAGAAAATCCAGGTACTCCAATCCTGGTTGAGTAATCCAAATGATGTATTATTACAGTTGATCCATGTGCTCTAATCCTGGTTGAGTAATACAAATGATGTAGTTTTACAGAAAATCCAGGTGCTTCAATCCTGGTAGAGAAATCCAAATGATGTATGTTTACAGATGATCCAGGTGCTCAAAATCATGGGAGAGTAATCCAAATGGCGTTTTTGTTACAGATTATCCTAGTGCTCCAATCCTGAAAGAGTAATCCAAATGATGTATTTTTACAAATGATCCAGGTGCTCCAATCCTGGTAGAGTAATCCAAATGGTTTTTTTTTTGTTACAGATGATCCTAGTGCTCCAATCCTGAAAGAGTAATCCAAATGATGTATTTTTACAAATGATCCAGGTGCTCTAATCCTGGTAGAGTAATCCAAATGATGTAGTTGTAAATATAATCCAGGTGCTCCAATCTTGGTAGAGTAATCCAAATGATGTAAAAGCTACAGAAAATGCAGATGCTTCAATCCTGATAGAGTTATCCAAATGATGTATTATTTACAGATGATCCAGGTGCTCCATTCCTAGTTGAGTAATCCAAATGATGTTTTTTTTACAGATGATCCACTATTTTTACAGATGATTCACTACATTATATACAAAATACGAATGCTTCAAAGTTGGTCGAGAAATTCAAATAATGTATTTGGTACAGATGACCCAGGTGCAACAATCCTGGTTGAGTGATCCAAATGATGTATTTCTACATATGATCCAGGTGCTCTAATCCTGGTTGAGTAATCAAAATGATGTATTATTACAGTTGATGCATGTGCTCCAATCCTGGTTGAGTAATACAAATTATGTAGTTTTACAGAAAATCCAGGTGCTTCAATCCTGGTTGAGTAATCCAAATGATGTATTATTAAAGTTGATCCATGTGCTCCAATCCTGGTTGAGTAATATAAGTGATGTAGTTTTACAGAAAATCCAGGTACTCCAATCCTGGTTGAGTAATCCAAATGATGTATTATTACAGTTGTTCCATGTGCTCCAATCCTGGTTGAGTAATACAAATGATATAGTTTTACAGAAAATCCAGGTGCTCCAATCCTGGAAGAGTAATCCAAATGTTTTTTTTTGTTACAGATGATCCTAGTGCTCCAATCCTGAAAGAGTAATCCAAATGATGTATTTTTACAAATGATCCAGGTGCTCTAATCCTGGTAGAGTAATCCAAATGATGTAGTTGTAAATATAATCCAGGTGCTCCAATCTTGGTAGAGTAATCCAAATGATGTATTATTACAGTTGATCCATGTGCTCCAATCCTGGTTGAGTAATACAAATTATGTAGTTTTACAGAAAATCCAGGTGCTTCAATCCTGGTTGAGTAATCCAAATGATGTATTTTTACAAATGATCCAGGTGCTCTAATCCTGGTTGAGTAATCAAAATGATGTATTATTACAGTTGTTCCATCTGCTCCAATCCTGGTTGAGTACTACAAATTATGTAGTTTTACAGAAAATCCAGGTGCTCCAATCCTGGAAGAGTAATCCAAATGTTTTTTTTTGTTACAGATGATCCTAGTGCTCCAATCCTGAAAGAGTAATCCAAATGATGTATTATTACAGTTGTTCCATGTGCTCCAATCCTGGTTGAGTAATCCAAATGATGTATTTTTACAAATGATCCAGGTGCTCTAATGCTGGTAGAGTAATCCAAATGATGTAGTTGTAAATATAATCCAGGTGCTTCAATCCTGTTAGAGAAATCCAAATGATGTAGTTGTAAATATAATCCAGGTGCTCCAATCTTGGTAGAGTAATCCAAATGATGTAGTTGTAAATATAATCCAGGTGCTTCAATCCTGATAGAGTTATCCAAATGATGTATTATTTACAGATGATCCAGGTGCTCCATTCCTGGTAAAGTAATCCAAATTATGTAATTTTACAGATGATCCAGGTGCTCAAATCCCTGTAGAGAAATCCAAATGATGTATTTCTACAGATGATCCAGGTGCTCCATTCCTAGTTGAGTAATCCAAATGATGCTTTTTTACAGATGATCCAGGTGCCCCATTGCTGGTTGAGTAATCGAATTGATAAATTAGTTTTAAATGATCCAGGTGCTCCATCCCGGTAGAGTAATCAAAATGATGTATTTTTACAGATGATTCAGGTTCTCCAATCCTGGTTGAGTAATCCAAATGATGCTTTTTTACAGATGATCCAGGTGCCCCATTGCTGGTTGAGTAATCGAATTGATAAATTAGTTTTAAATGATCCAGGTGCTCCATCCCGGTAGAGTAATCAAAATGATGTATTTTTACAGATGATTCAGGTTCTCCAATCCTGGTTGAGTAATCCAAATGATGCTTTTTTACAGATGATCCAGGTGCCCCATTGCTGGTTGAGTAATCGAATTGATAAATTAGTTTTAAATGATCCAGGTGCTCCATCCCGGTAGAGTAATCAAAATGATGTATTTTTACAGATGATTCAGGTTCTCCAATCCTGGTAAAGTAATCCAAATTATGTTTTTGTTACAGATGATCCTAGTGCTCCAATCCCGGTAGAGTAATCAAAATGATGTATTTTTAAAGATGATCCAGGTACTCCATTCCTGGTAAAGTAATCCAAATTATGTAATTTTACAGATGATCCAGGTGCTCCATTGCTGGTTGAATAATCGAATTGATGAATTAGTTTTAAACGATCCAGGTGCTCCAATCCCGGTAGAGTAATCCAAATGATGTATAAGTTACAGATGATACAGGTGCTCCATCCTATCAAAATTATATGTATTTATTAAAGCGCCATATCTGGTTGAGTAATCCAACCGATAGATGATGCAGGTAATCCAATCCTGGAGAAGTAATCCAAATGATTTATTAGTTTCAGATGATCCAGATGATCGAGATTTTATGAATCTTCAATACATTTGAACTATCTGAATATCATCAGTAACAAGGCACCTTCAGGTTAACTTGACACTCGGAGAATTCCTGACTTATTGTACACAAAGCCCTTTCTCCAAATGTACTCGAGTTTGAATCATGTGTTGACGTCATTGATGGCGGGAGTCCACATCGACGCTCTCTCTCGGTCTAGTGCTGCTGACTTAGCATCACAAGTTGTCTCTAGATTTCGGCCAATACATTGTACGTTAGTCATTTCCCTCAACCGTTTTATGAAGCCAGCCGCAGGAAGATTGGCTTGACTGGTGTTAGCGTCCTTATAACAGTCATTTAGTGGCGTGCCTCGAATGTGTAAAAGCAACTGAATAAAAATGATTCTCTGACGTCATCGGTAGTGATTTGGACAGCTAAGATTCAGGAGGAATTGACGTCCTCATTGTCCCTGGTGTTTGATTTTGTCGATTTCTGATGTGGCGTCATCAATGATCGTAGTAGCCTTTACATGTATGTCTTCCACTGAAGAACGTAGCGCGGCATACTCTCCATAGCGTATGATATGTTTGTCCATCAGTGTCCTACATATGTCGGATAGTCCAGTCACGTCTATTCCAAAAATATCCACTCGACCTAAATGTTGTTCCATTGACGTCTGAAAGGTTTTCCAGTCTTCGGGTAGTCTGGGGTTGATATATAACGATAATTTCCTTATCATTTCGGCGTGTAGGTGTTTTATGTCCGTTTGTGTTTTTGAATCCTGCAATAAGAAATAAAATGCTTTTTGAATCCTGTAGTTAGAAATAATATAACTTTGTATTTTTTTAATTTTGTAGTTAGAAATAATTCAGGTCACTTAAAGAACTCACTTAATTTAACCATGCATAAAGAGAAATATCGGACGTGGATTGATTTGCTCATTTTTGATTATCTATTATATGGGTTAACAAATGTATTACGAAAGAGGAATAAAACAACTCGGATTAACCTTTTATTTGGATTATTGTTTATTTATTACACTTTACGTCTTTGCCATGTGTTCGGGCAAATGGTAAACCGGACTATATTTCCCTTCCATTTAATATTGATAAAATATTTGAAACCGAATTATTAAAAAAAAATCATTTTATTAAACAAAATGCAAACCACTTTCATTCAATTGATCATATCGAACAAAAAAATACGAAATATGCAGATGTTTGCTATTTCTATCATTGTTTCAATTTCAGAACAAAAATGTGAAAGCTTTTTAAAAAGTAAGTGTCCCTAAAACAACTTACTTAGATTGATAATGTTTCTTGCACATAATATTTTATTTGCGAAATTTTACCAGTTCAAGCTTCACACAACCAATAATTCATAATAATTTTAGTGAATTTCAAATCTTCGCAAAACAGAAATTTCCCAAAATATAGTGTGAGCAAACCATCTCTATTCTACAGAGTTTGAATAACAAGTTCTGACCGAAGCCATTTTAGTCATATTCTGTAAAATAGAGAACTGCTTAACGGTTATATGTTGTGGATCATTCTTTTTTTTTATATACCGCGCAAATACGTTGACATCCTGGAAAAGTTTTAATCCCGCAAATTAAAGCATTAAAGAGTATGTTAGACATATACTCACCTGTGCTGGTGAACCACCTAAGTCTGGTAGCCAGAATATCCAGTCCTCCTTGCATAAATTATGTTTCCTCCCACATTCTTTACCTAGACATTGTACACCGCCCTCTGTTCCAAGGATAGCGGTACGGTCCCTTGGTTTGTCTCCGTGGTCAATCTGATAGCTGCAATGTAGTTTGTATTCGTAGGCTATGTTGTCCTGTTTGCACACACCCAGTGTTTTCTTTATAATATCATCAAGCTTTCGACGAATTGACGGTGCTACTGTTCCGGGAATAGTGTTATCTATGTGACTAAACAGAGTGATGGCGATGCAGGATTGCTCCCAGTGCATAGACACAATCATGTTCGTCGAATCGTCGACAGCAAAGCAACCAAAATTCCGGTAGATACTTTTGGTCTCCTTTTCTTCTGAATCTTTTAATATACCTAGTGAGATATATGTGATCTTTTGAAACCAGTTGTCTGGACATGGTCTTGATGTTAATCTAAGAGGGTCATATTCTTGAAGAATACCAGCATATACCTTATCGAATGTTTCGAGTGGTATTAAGTCCCCTTTGAACTGGAAACACAACGTTTTTGTAACTATTCTTGCTTCGGTCTGGATCACATATTCGATTTCGTTGGAATTGGCCAATGTCTCCAACTTGCTTGGAACAATGTATGCGTTGTCGTCACCTGACTGTCCAAACTTATGCTCAGAGACGACGTTCTTCACTATCATTCCAAACCAAACAAAATGTTTCAAAATGATATCCAAATGATTGCGATGTGTTTCATTGCCACTTTTTTCGAACAGTTCCTGTACGAGACTGTGTGTCAACAAACCTTTTTCCTGATATAACTGAAGATCACTTTTTAAAAGAATGTTAGTTTCATTTGGCATGAACTGAACATCAGTGATGACGACACTAAATGCATCTAGAAGCCACTGTGGATTGGTAATCACCGTGTCAAATTCGGTGGTGTAAATCACCGACCTGTTGCAGTCCAAAAACCTGGAAAACAAGTATTCCTCATATATGTATGATTTTCGTTTGCGTGTTATAACAATGTGAAATTATAAACTCTTTTTGTTCGAAAAAAGGAAATAAACGAAATTGTCCTTGAAAGTTTTCATTAAACCATTTTTTTCTTTCTTTCTTTCGCAGCTCAAATACATAATTCACTACTAATGGGAAGATTTTATATTTAACTTTGAATTACGTAATTTTACTTGTCGAATGTGTCATAAGTTAACATCACTTACTCTAGAAATAAGCTAATTGCCGCTTTATCTTCTATAGGTTTTTCACAATTGGCATCCAGTTCAGCCACTTCCTCTAAAGTTAAAACAGGGTAACTAGTCCTGGTATGTAGTATTTCTCTTTCCAACGAAATCCAGTTTGCTGGAATTTCTCTCATCCATTGGTCTTGGAGTTCAGCTGCATCAAGAATGATTTCTCGCAATTTTTCAAAAACTGGATCGTCCTGTATAGAATTATCGACCTTAAGAAAGTGCAAGAATGAATACTTTGTACGTCCTTTGTTTTTCGATGTTTCCGGTAAACGACAAATGGCATCTTCCAAATTTTTTATCCTTTGTTCTCTTTTTAGTTGATCCTGTAACCAAAGAATTTGAACGCACATGTACATCATATTAACATATCCATGATAAATTTTACTATAGTAATTTTTAAGTGCTGAAGAAGTAGGTAAATTTTTACACGATTTGCACGCCTAAAGAGGTCAAAAAGAGCCTTCTTGTAACAATAACTATTACCGCACTTGCATTTTGTAATAAAGAAAATATCTTTTCAAGAAATTGAGTTATTCGTTGTTTTTTTGTTTTTTTTTACATTTTTCTTTATTGAAACCAAAGACACCAGAGGCCTATTTTTGAAAGCATTTTATCGGTTTTAATCTCTCCCGTCCTTAGTACCTCAAATTCGCAAATGCAAAATTTGCATATCTATCCACATAATACTATAATAACAAAACGATTTATGTAATTTTGATACGTATTCATACACGTGCTAGCGATGAGAAAATTGTTCGAACGACAAACCCTTAAAATAATGTGTGATTAACTGTTTATCATCTATATACTACTACATGTACCTTATTTATTTCTTCTTTTAAAAAAGTCAACTAAACACCATATTTTCCAAACGACTTCTAGGCTCAATTGTCATCGATCGCAATTCCTCAGTCTGTGACAAACGTAAACAAATAGAATATTTGGGCGGAGGAATACCATGAACATAAAAACTTAGTAGAAAGTCATGTTTTTAAAACAATCTTATTGTCATTGGCTTTTCCATATGCACATTTGCGCTTGAAACAGTGTTGTTATTTTCAAAATATTTTTTCTTAACTTTGTATTGATATGTTTATGATAGACTTTTTTCGTAAGCGGATCACTTTTGTGTGGACACTATTTCCGGTTTAGGACGTCACCTGGCGCGAGTAGACGTTCTTTTTTGAGAAAATACGTTCCCAATACTGGGAAATGGAAAAATCCGTTCTCAAGTTCTTCTCAAGTTGTTCTGAAGTCGTTCTCAACTTCTACTCATACTGACAACCAATGATAATTGATAATTGATTTATCATGCTACCGGTAGGGGGTATAAAGTAGAATATAGATGATAACATTGTTTATGTCTTAATAAACTAAAATCCTTTGTTATAGATAGATTGTTATAAGTATAATATCCCTCAAATGGTATATGTGTCGAAATACTTATTTGATTTAAATAAGACCAGATATTGTAATGCAATGACCAAGACACTTAAATGTGTTTTGTTTTAGTCAGGTCATATCTATCTGACTGAAATAGCAAGACAATTTTATAATCTATTTTTCAAACACCCATATTATTGTATATTGTAGATAGACAATTATCAGATATCTAGAAAATCTTTTTTTCCACATTTACCATAAAAATCGTCTCGATTATACTGCGGACCGGACGGTATATTGCTAGGTACATTAATTACTTAAAGCATGTGGGTAGGTACACACCTTTGTATATACCAATGCTTTTCCCATGTTGTCAGAGTGTTGTCATTGGCAAATACGTTAAATTCGAAAGATGGACAAGCGCATTTACCGATGCATTTACAAAACCGTTGAACTTGACTAGAATGAAAACATTTTATTTACCTTGAACTTCTGCCTCACTAGATCCATATGTGTCCCCACAATGATAATTGGAGGGTGGCTCTGTCGGCGTTTGTTTGTTGTGTAATGGGATGACACAGTACCGACAATCCGAATCCAGTTTCGAATCTTTTCTAAAAAGCACATTAAAATATACTTTTATCCAACTTAATGTGGTCATAAAAAAAATAATGCTTTTGTTATTTGCCAAAACAAGGCAGGTCACTTATTTTGATACGTGTATCATCGTAAGGATAACCATTGTTTGGCCCATTGATTTCCAACTTTCCTCTTTCTTCCTGGGCGCAACAGTGTTTTTTTTTATTACATGTGAAACATCTAGTACAAAGTTCATAAAAAAGGTTCATATAGCATGTAAGTGTGACGTTGCGATCATTACGTACTCTGTCGCCTTAATAAGATAAAGCATCTGTATACAAAGGTGAACATATATATGGGTTGGTTATACAACATTCTATTAGTGTACGTATACTTGGTTGTTATACATGTACACAATGACAAAATATACGACAAACAAGCCCAAAACAGATTATCTTGGGGTATATTTATGGTGTAGTAAGAGTCACATTGTCTCAAATTCAAGCTTAGCTGGTTACGCACTTTAAACGCAAGGAATTGATTTGAGCAAATCTGGAAATCTTAGGACTCAAAAACAGCATTATGGACACAATACTGGCATTTAATGGTAAGACGCGGAAATTGATCAAATATCTTTTTTTTCTGTTAACACGATGAGCACACTCCAAGAGTAAAGAAACATATCGATTAGTTATTGTCTTTGCAGTTTTGATTTAATGTTTTATCCATGTTGCAAAATCAATCTAAAATACAAATTATATAACAAGGAAATAACTTTTACATACCGACTTCCCGTTCGTCTTGCAGACATTCCAGCATGTTGATCGTGATGATGTAAACACCATGACCACTTATGAAGACATGAACGGAAGGCTGAAGCGCAAAGTGGCCGCCCATATCCCACAGGGACAGGAACGCAAAGGATTCTGGGGAAGTGTCGGCTGCTACTTTAGATGTAAACGCCTCCAATGAAAAATCTCTCTTGATTTTATTGAAGAGCGGAACCATTTGTTCAAGTTTTGTTGTTAGTGTTGTTTCAGCGTCGGTATTCCATTTTACTGAATTCAAATTGAATAATTGCATTGTCTTACTATGTTAAAAACATAAAACGGCGTGATATGTGGTAGAATAAATATAAGGAGGAAAGATAATAGACGTGAATTATATTTTACTTTCCATAATTAAACCTTTATTTCACTTCATATTTCTTTACACACTGTTTTGTTAGTATTTTCTCTAGCAGTAGACAGGATTGATTACCATTATGAAATAAAAGTTCAAATTGGATTGTTTAGATGAAAACATCTTTCTGTTAATGTTTTAACCTTCATCTCTACTCCTTCCAAATGGATCTGCCGTTGTGTTTATTTTCTCTTTTGATGCTGATACACAGGCCTTTCCTGTAAATTATATTACATTTCCGTTGACAAGCCTGTAAATAAATCTTAAACAATGATTTTCAAATATAATATCAACAACTATTATTCTTTTGAGTATTAAAACTTTCGATTCTTACTGTCATATTGCTAGGAAATCTGGAAACAATCAAGTCAAAGCGTCAAGTTTGAATTAAGACGAATAGTCCGTAAGGTATCATTCTAATACGGTCCTTTTCCAAGGGAAAAAAATCCCTAATATTATTGCATGGAGAGGTATAAAGACGATCCGTCATAAAACGACACTATTCCTGACACGACATTTAGTAAAAGATCTAATGAATTGCATGCCTTTAGGAAACTATAACTTAAGAATTACAAATCAACATCAACTTCTGTCGTCACTGGAACATACAAAACAGTTGTAACTGTAATAAAAACATAATTCATCGGCGGCCTACTACTGTTTGACGCTACCGAAACGCCACAGAATAGTTACGGCGTCATAGAGAAATAGTGCCCGGTGCTAAGAATAGACGCCCGGAAACAAGAGGAAAATCAAGGACAGACGACATTTTACTTTATAGAATCCATGAGGTTATTTCATTATGAGCTTTTTGCTTAAACAGAACACACGTTATATCTCCAGCACACGCGCAGGCATACACACATAGGTAGATATTAGCCAGGTGACATAGGACTAGTAGTTAGCACCTGATATTATTACTAATTTAGTACAGGTCGATAACGTGCAAAATTGTTAGAGGTATAGGTGATTTAAATATATCTGCTTTGGGTTTAGCCCTTTAAGGTGACCTTCTATAGCCACATTATATAGATAGAAAAAACTTCGGGTTTCTCCAAGCCTCCCTATCAACCCTTTCCGATTATATTTAAATTTGAGTTAGCGTTATCTTGTGTACCTGCTTTCATGTGTGCTGTTTTCCAATTATTTATATAAAATAGTATAACTAACTTGTAATTGCTTTATTGAATACAGTCCCCATGTCGAACCCCGAGAAAGTCGTCCTTAAGAGGGGCTCTAACAGCACTATATAAATAGCCAGCAGCAAATCTGTAACCGACTGGCCTCTAACAAGAGTAAACATTTCAACGGTAAAAATTTGCAATTAAATTTATTAAAAATTAAATCGCTCATGCATATCAACAAAGATATTATACACGTGTTTCAGTCTTGATATTGTACCACTTAAAGCGAAGGAAAAACCAGTGAAAGAAATTTCCAATACCTTCTAGGTATTTTCCCTGAAATCTTATGTGACAATTAGAAGGCCATATTGTTCTTAAAATCCAAAAGCATATGTAATGTTGCAGAAGAAGGGCCCAGGGAAACCTGTATTCACCACTTGAGAAATATTTGTTCAGTACTTTTTGAGAAATATCGATAACAGAAATTGCTTTGGGATGGACGGGCCGCCCACATGCAGATGAAAACCAATCATCCAGATAGATAATGAGCTAACATACATATTATAGTATTGGATCGTAAAAAAGAAGAATCTCTTTCTGATATTCTTTGAACGTTTACCGTCATCTCTTCTGTTCCCAGTGCGACTTGCCATTGCATTTCTCGTTTCCTCTGGAGACATTAATGCTAAGGCCTTTCCACACGTTGGTCCTGTAAATTATATATTGTTTCTACAATATCGCTGAATAGCCATTCAATTGGATTAATAACTTAAAATTACAATCCAAGCAAAATATAAAGAACATGATTGCTTTCCAAAAGAAAAGACCTTTCTGTCATACTGTAACAGTAATTGTTGTTTTGGCGTCAAATTCAAACTTTGACGGATATTTCCCAATGAATGTTTGACAAAAAAAAGAGTCAATGTATATCGATAAAGCAATCGGAATATTCTAAGTTTCAAATTCTAACTTATCCAAAATTTGTTTTTCTTAATATATGTACAAAATTCATTTGGAATTAAACTGTGAGTTTCAGTATCGAGAGACCTTTCGAACCCTCATCCTTGCCTCCGCAAATCAATTCAGTTCAACTCTAACAAACTATGGTGACTATTTCATACCTTCTTCTTGTAGTTTAGCGTAATCGAGGTTTCCGGATCTGTGTCTGTTAGTTGAAGGTGTCCAAACCGTGTCATCAACATCTGAAAAATAAGATATTTTATGACATTGTCATAATTATAGAGAAAAAGTCTAATTACTCAAAAGAAAGACCTGACGACTGCCGACTAACAAACCGGTTTTTCTCATCTTTTGGGAATAACCACACTTCAACAAAGGGAGGCAAGAGGGATATTACGAAAAAAAAGGGGAAAAGAAAGGTTTAGAAAACTTAAGAACAAATTGCTCCCTATGACTTCTTTCATAGTCTGTTGTAAGTGACAGCATCAAGATAACCTTCGAGCTATCTTAGAGCATTTCAATTTCTTTATCTCTCTTTTTCTCTTTCTCCTTCTTCGACGCCACGGTATTGCTCGACTTTTGTATTGTAACAAACTTTACAGCTAGTAACACAACTACATATGAGTTTTGCTTCATGTGTAACAAGTTCAGTGACTGGATTTATAGAAAGGGAATAATTCGATCAACAAAATTTTATCAGTACGTAAAGGAAGTATATTATTTATTGTTCCATTAAAAAGCATCAAAAATATCTTTGTACTGTAAATGAAATATATATGCAATGACATTTTGAAGTATAACAATTTAAACGTATATGTATCATATAACTGAATGAGTAGAAACTACACCTTATATAGTCGCCGACTGCAGTATGTTAAAATGTAATGTAAACATTGACCAATATATTAGGTAGGTTTGAATGAGTAAACATTGCATGTGTATGTAGTTGCTGAGTACACCATTTTGTAATGTAACAAAAAGTATGTATTCATGTATATATACTAGGTAAGGCCAATGACCATTGGTACATGTTTGAACTTCAATCATGTTCGACTAACTAACACATGCGCCTGCACTGGTTATAGGACTGATCAATCAAGTGCAGTTGTACTAAGGGTACATCCATCAGTACATTACCCATACACAGTATCATAACATGCCAGGAATCTGCAATATGTAACCAAATCGATAGTAATTTGACAGAATGTTGACATTGTTAGGTCACGAGGATCAACACATATATACACAAAGGAGCAAAACTCTGATATACACTCTTGGTGAGGAAGCCAAAGGGAACGCTACCAGTCTATGCACTACCGGGCCATTAGATGGCCCCCTATACAAACCACTACACTATTATCGACAGCCAAAAGACTTAGAGAACGAGGAAAAACAACTTAGTTTTAACAAGAAATTAAACAGGGAAATTACAGAAAAGTAAAAAAGAAACTAGATTTGTCTACCTCAATGGGGTCATAAAAATCAACCCATTCCTCTCCCAGCTAAAATGTTTTACAAGATGTCGACATGCGAACATTTCTTTTCTGTTGTTAAATATGTATTTCCTTTGTATGAGGAATCAAATTCAATTAATGAACAAATTCAAGGGTAAAAACTGTGTTTCGATTCGGTTAAGCATCATCACTGACCAAATACATCACTTCCCTGTAGGTTCGGGGAATACAAAAAACATACAAACTGCATGACGTCGGATTTAAAAGTATATAAAGACACAGTAACAGAGCTTACACAAATAACATCAGTGCTCGAATTTTGTAATTTTCATTTCAACAGTTGGACACTTATGTGGCATTTTTATAAATTTATTCATTCATACATACCTTCCTCAATGATTTCTTTCGTTACATTACTCTCTAGCACCTGATTTTCTTTGAATAAAACTCCAAATCTTCCGGTAATTGCTAACTCTATTTCCATCCTCAACCAGCGTTTTGTATCCATCTCCACCTTGAACAACTGCTGATATATATTGCCACCATTAGTTGGACAGCGCTGTGACATATCAACTTGTGCTCTTTGTAGTCGTTGACAAAGTGTCGTTTTTCCAGCTCCTTCTGGACCAAGGAACACAACACGAATATGGCGGTACTTCTCGGTCACCCCATTAAACAGTAAAAGATATTGTTGTAGAGCGTTGCCGCTATATGCTACAAAGAAATAAATTTGAAATTCATACGTTCCTAGAAATGTTCCAAATATGTCTGATGTGAATGAGTTCAATATTGGATCGCTTCACAAAACAATATCAAAACAATTTGTGTTAATTTGTTTACTGTGGGCGTAATTATTTTAGCACGTTTTCGAGTTCTAGAGCATCGATCATAAAGAACAAAAAACATATGTCAAGTAAAATCAAATGAATCCAAAATAAAGACCAAAAAGAAAATTTTAAATGCAGATAGTGTCACAGTATCTTACGTATTTTAGATATCATTTAAATGAAAATAATATGTACTTACCTTTCAGAGCAACATCAGCAACTTTAACGAATCCCTCAGCAATTAATTGCCCTACGTTTCCTTCATCCATTAAGATGAAAAGGATAAGAAAATAAACTAGTTGTAGGCAATGTTACTGTATATTATAATAACATTAAGAGTACATTTTGTATTTGAGTGTAAACTACTATATGATTAAAATTGCTATAATTTTCACGTGATAATCTGGTAGAAACCATTTTATTTTTTTTTAATCATTAGATATTTGTTTATTGTACCTTTCCATTAGGTTTGCATTATATATACGGTTTTTTTTCCTTTAAGAATGAACTATAAGATTATTTTTTGTGTTTAAATAAGTCTTTTTTAAAGCTGTGGTGGTTGATTGAGGACATCCATATTTATCTATTTCGTTGTAACGTTTACGAAATAGTTTCTCTTTGTTTCGATTTATTTTCTCGTTATAGGGACTTATTGTTTCGTCTCAACAGCTTAGTATCTCGCGATAACGACTTAATATTTTTCTTATGACGCCTTAGTAGACTCAATCATTACTTTAGAAATTTCTTATTTTAGTCCATAAATGCATGTCTAAAAATGATTTAGTTTAAATCTAACGTGCGTAAAGGTGATAGTTAATGAGACGGAGATATATTGTCCACATTAATATCTATTTTTAAACAAGTTGACTTCAATTATAACTATCTTGGTTACATGTTACTTCTCTCACGGACCTTTGGTGTTTTGGTAACTTGGTATTTATTTTCATATTAAACACAAGCAGCTCTGATTTAAACCTTTGGTATTTAAAAGATTTTCTTCTAAAACAACAAAAACAGAAAGAAGGAAGGAGACTAATTTTTCAAAACATCACTGTTCATATAAGACAAATACAGGAGTTAAGGCATAATCAATATTGTGATTTTGAATGAGAGATGAATATTGGTGATTAAAGTCTAAATCCATATGAAGCCGAATTTAACTAGAGCAAATGGTGAAATAATATGAGGTACTTGTCTAATTTCACATTTATTACCTATTGGTGATATGCATTTGTATTGTAAATTACCAGAGTTATTGGCATTAAATTTAACGTCAAAGTCTTGAAACTCCAAACCCCACAAGCTTTTCTCCTCCCTTCTCATGCTTCATCATTCACATACAGCATACGAACAAATTCATTATTTCACTGCCAATGTCGATGGCAAAAGGACGGCATATCAGCAATCAAGGTTTTACATTTGAATCTACGTCAAGGAGAATTTGCTGTCGTCATCATGATATTTTTGTGAGCAAAACTGTTAAATGACTTGCAAGCAATGATTGCTTCTCAGAGGATCTAGTTTCGTAGACAAAACCTGCTCCCGTTGCGTTTTTGTTTTTTAATATTGGCTTTAAGTTTAGTTCAATTAGTTATTTTAATTAGATACTAAGATAATTTCGTTGGTAGGATTTATAAGGCAAAATTTAAAAAACTTCTGATATATAAGATACTAAATCGTAATAACGAAACAGTAAGTTTCATAGCGAGATGGCTAGTTTTTAGAATGAGACACTAAGTCTCAAGTTTAACGAAGTGCTTATTCATTGTAATGGTTATAACAAGATTCAGTTATTTTTTTATATACTCATACACATTTAACCTTTCCATTTAGGTGTATCCAGTAGGTAAAATAAACATGTACAAGTCATGTGTTATTTGGTTTGTTTAATTATTTTGGCGAAATCTCGATGTAACTAAATGTGCAATTATTAAAAAATTTGTATGCAAATTACATCCGATACATTTTAATCGATGATGCCTTACCTTTTCGGATATTTTTCGATGTTTTGCTTACTTCTTGGATAGGACTTCTGCCGTTTTTATTGAAATTCTTCTGTGACAGTCCCGCTTTAACAAGGTACTCCCATGATGTATCGAGCGATTGGCATTTATGTAATGCTGTACATCCATCATCATCTGTAGCATGGATATCAACTGATGACAAGCTTAAGATACGTTGCACAAGGGCATGATGCCCACCACCTGCAGCGTACATCAGACATGTACGACCTCTTGTATGAGTACGGTTGGGATCGAATCCTAAAGATATCAAAGCATCGAATACTTTCAGACTTCCGCGGACGCATACACTTGGTAGCGGGTCCACCTTTTCATCGCACTCAGTTGAGTTGGATATTTCTCTATAAAATACATACTGAGAGCATCATTATTGTTAAATATCATTTTAGCGTAGTTTAAAAAATCATTTTTCAACATTGATTCAGTCACGATGATTCGAAATATTTCTATATTCATATATTCACAACAACACGAAAATAGAGTTTGGCTAAACTTCAATAACTGCTCCTCATAATTCGTTGCAATGTATTTAATCACGTCGAGGTTCTTGCTAATGACTGCAACAATAAGACATGTTACCTCTTGATGTGTCGTCGTTGCTGTGTCTATTCCGTTCTGAACCAAATATTTAAATATCTCAATAGATCCACTAGCACAACAGAATAACAATGCATCCCAAACTTTCTGATACTTCTCATCAAGCTGACTGGGATAGGTCTCCACTAAATGTTGTACCATGCTGAAATTATTTTTGCCTGCAGCAATCATCAGACATGTTACTCCTTGATTAGATTTTGTTGCCGTGTCCATTCCGTTCTGACCCAGATATTTAAATATCTCAATAGATCCATAAGCACAACAGTGTAACAATGCATTCAAACCTTGCTGATCTTTCTCATCGAGCTGTCCGGGATAGGTCTCCACTAAATGTTGTACCATGCTGAAATTATTATTGCATGCAGCAATCATCAGACATGTTATTCCTTGATTTAATTTTGTTGCCGTGTCCAATCCGTTCTGAACTAAATATTGAAATATCTCAATAGATCCATTAGCACAACAGTGTAACAACGCATTCGAACCTTTCAGATCTTTCTCATCAAGCTGACTGGGATAGGTCTCCACTAAATGTTGTACCATGCTGAAATTATTATGACCTGCAGCATCCATCAGACATGTTTCTCCTTGATTTGATTTTGTTGCTGTGTCCAATCCGTTCTGAACAAGATATTGAAATATCTCAATAGATCCATTAACACAACAGTATAACAACGCATTCTCACCTTTCTGATTTTTCTCATCAAGCTGTCCGGGATAGGTCTCCACTAAATGTTGTACCATGCTGAAATTATTTTTGCCTGCAGCAATCATCAGACATGTTACTCCTTGATTTGATTTTGTTGCCGTGTCCATTCCGTTCTGAACCAGATATTTAAATATCTCAATAGATCCACTAGCACAACAGTGTAACAATGCATTCAAACCTTGCTGATCTTTCTCATCGAGCTGTCCGGGATAGGTCTCCACTAAATGTTGTACCATGCTGAAATTATTATTGCCTGCAGCAATCATCAGACATGTTACTCCTTGATTTGATTTTGTTGCCGTGTCCATTCCGTTCTGAACCAGATATTTAAATATCTCAATAGATCCATAAGCACAACAGTGTAACAATGCATTCAAACCATTCTGACTTTTCTCATCAAGCTGACTGGGATAGGTCTCCACTAAATGTTGTACCATGCTGAAATTTTTTTTGCCTGCAGCATTCATCAGACATGTTACTCCTTGATTTGATTTTGTTGCCGTGTCCAATCCGTTCTGAACCAAATATTTAAATATCTCAATAGATCCACTAGCACAACAGTGTAACAACGCATTCAAACCTTGCTGATTTTTCTCATCAAGCTGTCCGGGATAGGTCTCCACTAAATGTTGTACCATGCTGAAATTTTTTTTGCCTGCAGCATTCATCAGACATGTTACTCCTTGATTTGATTTTGTTGCCGTGTCCAATCCGTTCTGAACCAGATATTTAAATATCTCAATAGATCCACTAGCACAACAGTGTAACAACGCATTCAAACCTTGCTGATCTTTCTCATCAAGCTGACTGGGATAGGTCTCCACTAAATGTTGTACCATGCTGAAATTATTTTTGTACGCAGCATCCATCAGACATGTTTCTCCTTGATTTGATTTTGTTGCTGTGTCCAATCCGTTCTGAACAAGATATTGAAATATCTCAATAGATCCATTAACACAACAGTATAACAACGCATTCGCACCTTTCTGATTTTTCTCATCAAGCTGTCCGGGATAGGTCTCCACTAAATGTTGTACCATGCTGAAATTATTTTTGCCTGCAGCAATCATCAGACATGTTACTCCTTGATTTGATTTTGTTGCCGTGTCCATTCCGTTCTGAACCAGATATTTAAATATCTCAATAGATCCATAAGCACAACAGTGTAACAATGCATTCAAACCATTCTGACTTTTCTCATCAAGCTGACTGGGATAGGTCTCCACTAAATGTTGTACCATGCTGAAATTTTTTTTGCCTGCAGCATTCATCAGACATGTTACTCCTTGATTTGATTTTGTTGCCGTGTCCAATCCGTTCTGAACCAAATATTTAAATATCTCAATAGATCCACTAGCACAACAGTGTAACAACGCATTCAAACCTTGCTGATCTTTCTCATCAAGCTGACTGGGATAGGTCTCCACTAAATGTTGTACCATGCTGAAATTATTTTTGTACGCAGCATCCATCAGACATGTTTCTCCTTGATTTGATTTTGTTGCTGTGTCCAATCCGTTCTGAACAAGATATTGAAATATCTCAATAGATCCATTAACACAACAGTATAACAACGCATTCTCACCTTTCTGATTTTTCTCATCAAGCTGTCCGGGATAGGTCTCCACTAAATGTTGTACCATGCTGAAATTATTTTTGCCTGCAGCAATCATCAGACATGTTACTCCTTGATTTGATTTTGTTGCCGTGTCCATTCCGTTCTGAACCAGATATTTAAATATCTCAATAGATCCATAAGCACAACAGTGTAACAATGCATTCAAACCATTCTGACTTTTCTCATCAAGCTGACTGGGATAGGTCTCCACTAAATGTTGTACCATGCTGAAATTTTTTTTGCCTGCAGCATTCATCAGACATGTTACTCCTTGATTTGATTTTGTTGCCGTGTCCAATCCGTTCTGAACCAAATATTTAAATATCTCAATAGATCCACTAGCACAACAGTGTAACAACGCATTCAAACCTTGCTGATCTTTCTCATCAAGCTGTCCGGGATAGGTCTCCACTAAATGTTGTACCATGCTGAAATTATTTTTGTACGCAGCATCCATCAGACATGTTATTCCTTGATTTGATTTTGTTGCTGTGTCCAATCCGTTCTGAACAAGATATTTAAATATCTCAATAGATCCATAAGCACAACAGTATATCAACGCATTCGCACCTTTCTGATTTTTCTCATCAAGCTGACTGGGATAGGTCTCCACTAAATGTTGTACCATGCTGAAATTATTTTTGCCTGCAGCAATCATCAGACATGTTACTCCTTGATTTGATTTTGTTGCCGTGTCCAATCCGTTCTGAACAAGATATTGAAATATCTCAATAGATCCATTAGCACAACAGTATAACAACGCATTCGCACCTTTCTGATTTTTCTCATCAAGCTGTCCGGGATAGGTCTCCACTAAATGTTGTACCATGCTGAAATTATTTTTGCCTGCAGCAATCATCAGACATGTTTCTCCTTGATTTGATTTTGTTGCCGTGTCCATTCCGTTCTGAACCAGATATTTAAATATCTCAATAGATCCACTATCACAACAGTGTAACAATGCATTCAAACCTTGCTGATCTTTCTCATCAAGCTGACTGGGATAGGTCTCCACTAAATGTTGTACCATCCTGAAATTATTATTGCCTGCAGCATTCATCAGACATGTTATTCCTTGATTTGATTTTGTTGCCGTGTCCAATCCGTTCTGAACGAGATATTGAAATATCTCAATAGATCCACTAGCACAACAGTGTAACAACGCATTCGCACCTTTCTGATTTTTCTCATCAAGCTGACTGGGATAGGTCTCCACTAAGTGTTGTACCATGCTGAAATTATTATTGTACGCAGCATTCATCAGACATGTTCTTCCTAGATTTGATTTCGTTGCTGTGTCCATTCCGTTCTGAACCAGATATTTAAATATCTCAATAGATCCACTATCACAACAGTGTAACACTGCATTCAAACCTTGCTGATCTTTCTCATCGAGCTGTCCGGGATAGGTCTCCACTAAATGTTGTACCATGCTGAAATTATTTTTGCCTGCAGCAATCATCAGACATGTTTCTCCTTGATTTGATTTTGTTGCCGTCTCCAATCCGTTCTGAACAAGATATTTAAATATCTCAATAGATCCACTAGCACAACAGTGTAACAACGCATTCGCACCTTTCTGATCTTTCATATGAAGCTGTTCTGGCCAGGTCTCAATTAAATGTTGAACTTGGCTGAAATTTCTATTTGCTACAGCAATCATTAAAGAAGGGTTTCTGTCGCTATTTGTTGTTGCATTCATTTTGTTATCAATAAGATATCCCAACAGTTCCAGAAATCGAGCAGTTTATCAAATTGTCAGATGCATTATAATTCTCGAATTAATAACTTTTCACTAAATAACTTTAATCTTTAATTTTAATCACGGCAATCTTCATAGACGTGAAAGATGTGTTTGTCTCCATGATACCTGTACAAAATAGACAAAGTTATGCAAACATGAGCCGAGTTGAACTCTATTTCAAAACGATACTTTGGAATAATGACGCGAAAATACCATCTCTTAAGAACTGAGTAAAGGATTACAAAAGTTTTTTTTTCTGAATTAAAATCCTTTTCCTTTTTTTAATAAAATCTGTTTAAAATTTTAAAGGGAGAAATCTTTTTTGCTTTATGAAATTTATTGATTATCAGTGAATGGCAACTGGAGTTTAAAATCAAATAATGAGTTCTATCAAAGTATGTGATATAATATTCCTTATCTTAATAATAATAATGATAATGATAATAAAGAATTCGAGGTTCTTATATACCGCTTTATCACAACCAAGTTCATAGGCTGCCTCAAAGCGGTTCACACACATTTATCTGTGGTTATAGGGCATTTGCAACCAGCCTATATATTTCGCAACTACCTGGGAAGCATACAGCCGGTGCTACCATTTCGGTGCTCACAGCTAGCATTCAACAATTCTAGCACTGCCCAACCACGTACTCAATTTACAGATGAGTAAAACAAATAAAATAAATATACAACACTTGATATAGCGCCCTATCTAGCTAACATAAGTCACTCTAAAGCGCTTTACAGTACATAGATATACAATTGTATACAGTCAATACAATTAGCATATATATTAATCAATACAATATTGAGGAATTCGTAGGAGCTGCCTTATCAGGCGCTAACTACTAGTCATATGCCACCTGGCTCATATCTCCCTATGGGTGTATGCCTGCTGGAGATGTATTGTGTGAGTAGACTGGAGCAAGCGGATTCAAGTATCTTGCTCCAAGATACAACACAGTGCCGTGCCGTGCCTCGAAACCGCAACCCTTCGGTCATGAGCCCGGTGTCCTACCACTAGACTACCATGTGTCATATTTATTTATTTTTGCTCTTATGATAGAAGATAGGAGCACTTAACAGGTACAATCTTTTCTTGAAATCCGAAGATAAGTGTATACTGCTATATTATTATTACAAGCAAGTACAGTTAGGAGCAAACTTACCTTGGTATTCAACCCAAGTACCAAAACATATTTACGCAAAACCTAAAACTTCTGCCAACATTTGGTATCCGAATTTCAAATCTCCTGCAAGAACTTAACATAAAGTTGACCGACATAGCTGAATTTTACATATCTGATGTTCCTCAATGGACCATAAAAACACCTGATTTTAACTTAACATTACATGAGCGAGGGAAATCCAGTGTAATGCCCGAAGAACATAAATCCTCCTTTCGGGAATGCATTTCGAATTACTCTTCTCATACACAACTTTACACCGATGGTTCCAAAGAAGGTGAGAAAGTGGCAGCAGCCTGCTGTACTGCCAATACTTGCACTTCAGTTCGACTACCAGATGGCACCTCCATCCTTTATGCAGAAGCATACGCCGTTGGTTTGGTCCTCGACCATGTCGATGAACACCGCATTAAAAAGGCAATCATTTGTTCAGACACTCTACCTGTCCTACAAAGTTTACAGTTACGAGATCCTAAAAACTAAAATAACTTTACTATGGATTCCGAGACATGTCGGAATTAAAGGCAACGAATTTGTTGACAGGAAAGCTAAAAATGTGTTAAATCTCGAACAAACACATATCAAACTACCATAAACAGATTTCAAACCTATGATTCGTACAGCCATTCAAAATGAATGGCAGCAACGCTGGTCTCTCGAGACCAACAACAAACCTTTTAAAGTACAACCGAAACTTAAAACATCTGTTCCCAGTCGGAAAGATCGTAGAGAGGAAGTTGTCCTCTCTTGGCTCCGTGCTGGGCACACATAACCTACTCATTCGTACCTTTTAAAACGAGAAGATCCATATTCATGCCATGCATATGACACTCCATTCACAGTGGAACATTTTTTAATAGAATGCTCCGATTTTAAACACATTCGTGATGACTACTTTCGAGTCCCGGATATAAAAACTCTTTTCAGTTCCGTGGACTCGAAGGCATTATTTAACTATTTGAAAGACATCGGTCTATTCTATAGACTCTAATGTCTTTTAACCCACCTTACCCTCTTTGTCGTTATATAAATCACAAAGTCCATATCATCTATTCGTTATCTCTGTTATTAGTTTTAACCCCCTTTTTATTTTTATTATCTACACATACAATGCGAATGCTTTTGAAAATCGCCATGGCCCTAAATGACTTCAGCCGTCGATGGGCCGTTTAACACAAACAAACAAACAAACAAACATAAATGTATGTAAAAAATGTATACGGTAAAGATAACGAATACAAATATATATCAAAGTTATTTTAACTATACAACTTTAGTGTAAATAGTCGTTATCAGGGTCATCATGATCAGGAAAACATATACAGGTATTTGGCTAGCGATCGTTTCAATAGAGTTAGAATTGTTAATGGTCATAAGAATTAGAAACAGTGGTTTGATATCACAAAGATTCACCTTACAGCAAAGACGGTTAGGAAAGTAAACGTCATGAAGTTTTAAAATGATTTTTGTATTTGAATATCATATATCGTTTCAATCGTATGTATACACACATAGTACTAGTGGCCCTGATCTGGTGGATCAGGGTCGGGAAATTTCATAACACAGGGACGGGTCTCCTGCTGTGTAATTACATACACAGGGCCGGGTCTCCTGCTGTGTAATGACATACACAGAGACGGGTCTCCTGTTGTGTAATGACATACACAGGAACGGGTCTCCTGCTGTGTAATGACATACACAGGGGCGGGTCTCCTGCTGTGTAATGACATACACATGGACGGGTCTCCTGCTGTGTAATGACATACACATGGACGGGTCTCCTGCTGTGTAATGACATAAACAGGGACAGGTCTCCTGCTGTGTAATGACATACACAGGGACGGGTCTCCTGCTGTGTAATGACATACACAGGGACAGGTCTCCTGCTGTGTAATGACATAACACAGGGATGGGTCTCCTGCTGTGTAATTACATACACAGGGACGGGTCTCCTGCAGTGTAATGACATACACAGGGACGGGGCTCCTGCTGTGTAATTACATACACAGGGACGGGCCTCCTGCTGTGTAATGACATAAACAGGGACGGGTATACTGCTATGTAATGACATACACAGGGACGGGTATCCTGCTGTGTAATGACATACACAGGGACGGGTCTCCTGCTGAGTAATGACATACACAGGGACGGGCCTCCTGCTGTGTAATGACATAAACAGGGACGGGTATACTGCTATGTAATGACATACACAGGGACGGGTATCCTGCTATGCAATGACATACACAGGGACGGGTATCCTGCTGTGTAATGACATAACACAGGGACGGGTCTCCTGCTGTGTAATGACATAAACAGGGACAGGTCTCCTGCTGTGTAATGACATACACAGGGACAGGGCTCCTGCTGTGTAATGACATAACACAGGGATGGGTCTCCTGCTGTGTAATTACAAACACAGGGACGGGTCTCCTGCTGTGTAATTACACACACAGGGACGGGTCTCCTGCTGTGTAATGACATCCACAGGGACGGGTCTCCTGCTGTGTAATGACATACCCAGGGACGGGTCTCCTGCTGTGTAATTACATACATAGGGACGGGTCTCCTGCTGCGTAATGACATACACAGGGACGGGTCTCCTGTTGTGTAATGACATACACAGGGACGGGCCTCCTGCTGTGTAATGACATAAACAGGGACGGGTATACTGCTATGTAATGACATACACAGGGACGGGTATCCTGCTATGTAATGAAATACACAGGGACGGGTATCCTGCTGTGTAATGACATACACAGGGACGGGGCTCCTGTTGTGTAATGACATACACAGGGACGGGTCTCCTGTTGGGTAATGACATACACAGGGACGGGGCTCCTGCTGTGTAATTACATACACAGGGACGGGCCTCCTGCTGTGTAATGACATAAACAGGGACGGGTATACTGCTATGTAATGACATACACAGGGACGGGTATCCTGCTGTGTAATGACATACACAGGGACGGGGATCCTGCTGTGTAATGACATACACAGGGACGGGTCTCCTGTTGTGTAATGACATACACAGGAACGGGTCTCCTGCTGTGTAATGACATACACAGGGACCGGTCTCCTGCTGTGTAATGACATAACACAGGGACGGGGCTCCTGCTGTGTAATGACATACACAGGGACGGGTCTCCTGCTGTGTAATTACATACACTTGTCAATTGAAGTAGGTGGTTAACAAGAGCATAGTTATAAATGTAATAGCGACGAAAAGAAGAAAAACAATGTTGTTCACGACTTGTTTTCTAAATTCACCTAAACATCGCTCTAGATTTACTTGAACTATATTATCCTTACAACCACGGCTACCGTAGTTACCATCGTAGCAACCCGCTTCAACTGTTTTTTTGTGTGTTTTTTTTTATAGCATTTGAACATTATTTATGGTGTAAATATAAGGATTGACCATCATTATGTATGTTTGTATGTTTGTATGTATGTATGTATGTATGTATGTATGTATGTATGTATGTATGTATGTATGTATGTATGTATGTATGTATGTATGTTCCTATTTTTGATCTTCGTTGATACAGATTTATTTCTGATGTTCTAAACCTTCCATGTAAATATTCATAGTTTATTATCTGCTATTGTTTGAGATGCACCCTTGGGAGAGGATTTATATAGGTTTTGCCTCTTGCTCAATTTCTTTTGAATCGGATTGATTTTATAAAATATTTTGAAATGGAAAAACAATTGTGTTGGTCATATATAGGTAGCAATGTATACGATCCAAAGATGGGACATACTCATATAGAAATCAATGTGACATCAATGAGTTGATGTCATATAAATACACACCAAAGTGAAGACGGTAAAGAACGGGGATGTCAGGCAGTTTCAAAATTAAAATGTATTATACATATACAGGTTAAAATTACACGGTTGGGTGGGAAGGTAGGTTGTTTAATCGCATATATACAC